ACACTTGGAAGGGCTCCTTAGTAACAACTTAATAAAGAAGTTAGCAAGATTAATAAAATGTGATCCTGACGAACCACCACTAGTAGTTTTCCAGAGTTTATCCAAGATTCTAGCTCAGAATTCTGAAAAGCCTAACTACTCTTTTAGGGCTTGTTAATGCCACAAAGTTTCCCAAAGGGCGTTCTGTCCTCAGTGCATGATCACTCTCTGTGTGTCATTATATCAGGAAGGTTTGACAACAAATGAAATGATAGTATTCACTATCCCATGTAACAGCAAGTCTAAAGTTATGGTAGCTCTACTTCTCTGGGTCTGTCTTGGCTTTGCTGCCCCCTAATCCTTATGCCAAGTTTGTCCCTCATGCTAGCACCTCTCAAGGTGGCAAGGTAGGTAAAGCATGTCTGGGCATTACATCTGACCCAGCAATGTCCAGAAGAGCCTTGTGACCTGCCAGTGCCTAATCCAATCACCAGCAAGGAGAATTGGACATATGTAGACAAGCTAGACTCTACCATCTTCAGCTAGAGACGGGCAATTCTGAGCTCCATCAGGAAGGAGGAAGGATGAACAGATGTTAGGTGACTCAGGAAATTCTGCCCAAGTTAGAATTTTCCATTGCTGGGATTATTGGTTTTTCACCACAAATTACAGTTTCTTTTGTTTTGATGTTATTAATTTAGTTTGTTGTGGACTGTTTGGCTAAGCCTACAATGTGGAGAAACGCACATCTTTTTCAACAATGTTTTGGACGGCAATGTTTCCCATAACTAAGTTTAAAGAGACGTGAACTTTGGGGGCCAAGAATAGATTATCCACATCCCATCACCAAAGCAGATAAATCCACAGTCCTCACCACCATCCTCAGTACCCCCAACTGGCTTCTCCAGTGACCATCATTGTTACCGGAGTTTTTCTTACGAAAAGGGGAGTTATGTGTGCTTATGGGGTACGCTATTCTGCCTAAGTGGACTTTGCTTAGAAAGTTGTGGGAGTGTCTGCTTTGGGTAGGAACTCCCTGTGAGTTTCTTTCTATTTTTCTGCACCACCAGGAAGAGAGGAAATGACTCTGTGCCTTAGCATCATATGTGCTGACCTCAGTCTTAGGGTGTGAGGACCCAGGGTCTCCTCATTAGTCTCCCATCTGGAATTGGCAGCAGCAAGATCACTTTCTCCAGTTCATGTATAAAGAATAAAGATCAAGGCTCAGTAACTACAAACACAACTATTCTGGCTGGAGTCATTCCAAGTCAATTACTACTATCATTAGGCATTAAATCAAAACAATGGCACTTAAAACTATACATGCTTCAAAGTTCAGGCTCTCATCACCTCTCATGTACATTATTACAACTGCTTCTTGCTTGATCTCCTGGCCCCACCAATTCATCTTGCAAGCCATTCCCAAGGGCTCTTTCAAAAACACAAATCTGGTCATGTCATTTTCCAGCTTAGAATCCTCACAACGACATCTACACGTGCTTTAGTCCATTTCAGCTGCTAGAACAGACCACTGTAGACTAGACAATAACAATAAAAATTTATTTCTCACAGTTTTGGAAGCTGGAAGTCCAAGATCGAGGCACCAGCAGATTTGGTGTCTGGTGAGGACCACTTCCTGCTTCATAGATGACCTGACCACCCGCTTGCTAAGAAAGGGCGAGGGAGCCTCTTGGGGTCTCCTGTATGAGGGTACTAATCCATTCATGATGCCTCACTTCCCAAAGGCCTCACCTCCCCATACCATTACACTGGGGTTTAGGATTTTTTTTTTAAAGATTTTTATTTATTTATTGAGAGAGAGAGAGAGAATGGTAGAGAGAGAGCATGAGATGGAGGAAGGTCAGAGGGAGAAGCAGACTCCCTGCTGAGCAGGGAGCCTGATGTGGGACTCGATCCCGGGACTCCAGGATCATGACCTGAGCCGAAGACAGTCGCTCAACCAACTGAGCCACCCAGGCGCCCTGGGGTTTAGGATTTTAACATATGGATTTGATGGGGGGAATGGGGTTGGGAGTGGAGAGGAAAAGAAACTTTCAGGCCATAAACGGGCGTACTGACCACTCATGTTCTGGCTTCTGCCTGCCTTTCCAAATTCATCTCTTGCCCCATTCCCCAGCAAAATTTCACTGGGCACTGCAGTCTGACAACACCATTCTTGCAGTGTCTGGAACATACCGGAAGCTTCCAGACTGCACAACTTGCTCCCACTACCTGGAATGTTCTTTCTCCCTTATCGTCTGTCACATTCCCATTTATGCCTCAAAATTCAATCGAAACACCACATTCTCTTAAAAAATAATCTGTGTTCACTCCACTCGGAAAAGTTACTTACCTATCCCTGATGCAGTGCTAGTGGCGTTTAAGACCGTGGACTTCAGAGCCAAACTATCCAGGTTTCAAATGCAAAAGTTCACCACCACTTACTGGCTATGTGGTCTTGTCAAGAATGATGTGGGATTGAGATTTTATCCTACTTACCAGCCATCAACCTTACCTGTTAGTGTTTCACAGATGCTGGTAGAAGACCTGACTCCTGGGGCAGAGACAAACACAGTAGATTGCGCTTCATGTCAGCTAGCGTTTGCTCCCCATGACCGCCAAGTCTCATGGGGGCCATGCGGAGGGCCCATTATGATGGCTGCATAGGCAGTGAGTTGCATTGCAGGAGAGGATCCCTGAGCATGGGGGCAATCATCCCTTTCATAATAAGTGGAATAAAAAGCCTTCTCTCTATCCAGGGGGAGACGTTACCTCCTCTTTCAAGGCTGCGCTCTACAAACACAGCCCTGGGAATCAGCCCACAGAAAGAGCAGTGAAGACCTTGAGTTCTTGGCACATCCAGCAAGACCCTCCAGGAACGCTCAGCGTCCACAGTGGACTGTCTCTCCCAAAAGTCTTGCACATGCCATTTCACCCCTGACTATCTCACTTTTCTTGTCTCGAGTTGGGAAAATAATGGTCCCGGTATCATGGGGACTTCGTAAGGGTTAAAAGACTTGCCATATGTCCGGCACTTAGACCAGCTCCCAGCCCAGAATAAACGATCAGTAAGAGCTAGTTATTAGTATTAACATCCCTCCCATATCCCCCCTTCCTACTATCCACATAGTTGATTTATAGCTTCATCACATGTCACGGTATCTGTTTACCCATTTTTCTTGCCCACCGGCCTAAGTGCTTTTTCAGGCAATTCATCTTTGGATCCCAGATGCCAGTCCAGGATGGGTAATTATTACATTTGTTGGACAAAGGAATGATTGGCTAGTCCTCCTGCATATCAAACAGTGTGATCTCCGTGGCATCCTCTCTATACATTTGATCAAATTTGAAGACTCTAAACTCTTCAGCCCTTGGTGGGGTCAGGGGAGGGAAAGGATGTTCTCTTTTATGTAGCTCTTTTTTCTCCCAGAAAGACATGACATGGCAATCATACCACCCACACGGGTAGATTAAGTAGTTCTTCCAATTGAAGGAAAATTATCTATTCTTATCCGCTTCGAATTCAGTAAAATGGCAAGAATAGCAGGGTCGGCCTCATATGCTTAGGACAGTGCTGAGCACCTACGAAATGCATGTTCACCTCCTACTCCTCACTGGATCTCAAATCCCGTTATCCCCACCCTGTTAGAGGAAGTCACCGCAAGAGGTGTTTTAGTCACTGGCGATGCAGAAGAGAAAAGACAAATCTGGTTTCCACTCTTACTGTTGCAATTCAGAACACAGACTATCTGGGGGCAGGAGGCAGACGCGCCACTGTTTTATCCACCCCTGTTCAGAAATTAACCCAGGAAGGCCCCTGGGTCCCTGGCCAGACCTAACACCTAGCACCTATCCCAGATTCTGGTCTGTGACTCCCACTCGATAAATAAAGGCACGCATGAATAAATTAATGAGGAAGGAAAAAGTTACTGAAACTAACATGGTCCTTTTTTCACGCACCTGATAGAAAATCATCACTAGTACTTTTTTCCTGAAATCAAACAGGCTCTCAACGGATGGCCGACTGTCCTACTTTCCTATGCGGTCCTTTTAGCTGCGTTTCCATGAGATTATGGTCCTTCATGCCCACACTGCTCTGACTACACAGACCTTGCTGGAAAAAGACTTCCCTGTCAGTTGGCGCCGTGCACTGTTTTATTAGCTAAAAAATGTCGCCTTTCCATTGGTGCACGCATTACTGGTCTCTGGTGTGTACTAAACAGCCACAGCCCCTCTGGCCCAGAAACACAAGAACTGAGAAATGCACCCGGCCCCGTGGTGAGAGCAGACTGACTCCAGGTCTGAGCTGTCGCGGGTTTCACAACGGGACCTGTGTTTCTTCTACCCACGGCCACCTCGGACGGGACTGAACCCGCTGATGCCACCGATGTTTTGCTCGCCCCTGATGACACCCACCCGCCTGGCTGGTCACCCCATGATCTGCAGAATACACACACATCTTCTCGGAGGGGAGAGGAAGACCGTAAGAAGATGTGATGAACAGTGAAGGTAGTTCAGCAAGTACGGAGCATTCGAGAGTGGACCTTCTAGGCCCGGTTCTTGCTCGGCCTGACCTCGCTGTATATCGTGTTCGTCGGAGTTCTCCGGGGAACAGAACCGATAGGACATATATCCGGAAACACCCTCCCAGACACACCCAGAAATAATGTTTCATCTGGGCACCCTGTGGCCCCCTCCAGTTGACTCTAAAATTAAACCATCATAGATATGTACAGGATTTTACATGGGTGTATAACACAACATGTGTATATATTAATAGATGCATAATATGCATATGCCTACACAAATATAAAATATACATATATACACATGTAAAAATATATATTCTTTTCTTAAGATTTTATTTATTAATTTGTCAGAGAGAGAGCGAGCGCGCACAAGCAGGAGGATTGGCAGGCAGAGGGAGAAGCAGGCTCCCTGCTGAGCAAGGAGCCCCATGTGGGACTTGATACCAGGACCCTGGGATCATGACCTGAGCCAAAGGCAGACGCTTACCTGACTGAGCCACCCAGGCATCCTAAAAATATATATTCTTTAAAACATAAATAACCAGCTACTTAGCTGCAGCAATCATCGAATATTATAGCTCTAAGAGACTTTATTATTTTTTACATCAAGACATGTGCTTTATATCCAAAATCACATGCCCAATCAAAAGCAGGTCCAGAATGAGCGCATGGATGTTCTGACTCTCATTCTAAAGCCCCTCGCCACCCTGGACCATGGTTTCTCCTCTGTGCTCCTTAGTATTAACTATTCCATGGAACCCTTTGCATCTGAAAGAGTCTCTATACAGAACTCAAGCTCATTTTCCAAAAAACCTAGAGTACAGTACCCAGTTCGTACCAGCGATTTAGAGCGCTCACGCGTTCCGACAGGGAAATGAGAAGCATGTCAGGAATCTCTATCTGCTCACCAACCCCCTTACCCTCTTCTTGGCCGCGTAGGAGAGTACATTTCCGCACCCCCTGTGTAGGGAGGTGAGGATCATGTGGCTGAGTTTTGGGAAAGGCTCCCGCGGAAGTGACATCCTATCCGCCTGGGCCACCCAGCACCTCCCACACCATCCCTCCTCCCTGTCCGTGGGGGCGGGGGGTGGGGGGGGGACAGGGGGCTCTGAGATGGGGAACTACACAACGGACAGAGATAAGATTTGAGGACAAGCTGCCCAGGAAAGCTGCCTGCCCTGCAAAGTGTATCTGAGCAAAAAGGGAATTTGTATTCTGTTAAACTCTGTGATATTAGAGCTGTTTGTCACACAAGTGTATGAGATTCTGTCAGTACACCCCCCATGTCCCCTGAGTCCATCCCAGAGGTCCCCTGCAGCTTCTTACTCAGGGCCCTGGGTCTTTGTCTACCTTAGGGCCTTCCTAAGGGCTCCAGGGCATTGCTTGTCCTGCATATAGAACAGGTGGGAAGGGCTCAGGACTTAATACCTTTAGAATAAGCCCTCAACCAATAACGGATGGAGGTTGGTGGATGGATAGCTCTGCTTTCTTCCCCCTTGGGGGGGTAACTGTAAGGTATCTCTGCATATTCTTTCGGAGGTCTTACGCAGACCTGAGCCCGGGTGCCCTTAGGTCCTCTCACTACTGCAGACTTCGTTGGTTTTCCTTCTTTCCCATCTTGCTTCTCCATTCCCTCACCGTGCTTCTGAGATCCCTTCCCAAATTAACTACGTACCCTCAAATCATGCCTCAGAGCCCCACTTTGTGGAAGGCCAAACTAATATGTGGCAACTAGCACTAATTTCCCAAGTAAGAAGAATATAGTTCAGCGGGTAAAGGGTACAGTCACAAATTCCTCAGATTGTGACTTCTAATTCTGTCTGTGGTTCCAGCGCTTGATGCAGTTAATTAGGACAGTCTTACCCATCTAATATTTGAGGGAGCAGCAATCCAGTCCTGAAATTATTTGCAAATGTTAGATAGTAGTTTCAACATAATCAGCAAAAATAAGTAGTTTGTAAGGAGCGTTTTCTGGTTACAAAAGCAAAATGTAAATTTTGGAAAACCTATAAAATGTGGAAAACATAGGAAAGGCTAAAGAGGGAAGTAAAATGCTTCCCGTGGTTGCTTTTGCAATCTGGGTATACAGCCTCTTGGTACTTGGTGGGTACAAACTGATATACCATTGTGCTATATTTAGCCAATCCAGGTACTTATATACTAAAATAAAAATATTTAAAGATGAGGATGATTTCAAGTTTACTTAGCGCCCTCCAAGGGATCAGAGATTTTCGTGTTTTTATTTTGCTATCTCTGGAGTCTACAGTGATGCTTGGCACAATAAGCTTTCAATAAATATCTACTAAATTAAAAAATGAACAAAGGAGGCATTTGGCGCCATCTTCTTGCTGGGATTAGAGCCAATGTATAGTTAGGATGAAGCCAAGCTCAGTGTTTGATAACAAGCCCTTCATGAACATCAGGTTGTGGTGATAATTGCTCATGCATTGGATCTACTTTAGTCCTTTATTCCTTGTATCAACGCCCTGCTTTTCCATAACAACTGAACGCCCCAGAACAGAAGTGAGGCTTCCTACGGGCAAGACACAACTCATTCTTGTGGCGAGAACTTTCCCTTTCCCACAATATATCCTCATAAATCACTCACATGTGACGTTCGTCAGGAAAATGGTTGAGAGCATTTTATGATGCTGTCACTTAGATTTGATCTCTGTTGACAACGTGTGATCTTCCGTCATGGGGCCACTCGCCTGCCATTCAACCGAGGCCATGGACCCGTGTCAAAAAGCTTATGGCCCAAAGTGTCATTGACATTTAATACCCTGAAATCCTCAGAGGCACTGAAAACAGAGCATCAGGCAGGCTCTTAGTCTTTTCCCTCAGGTCCAGACAAGATCTTCATGATTTATATTCATGTTCCTGCCTCTTGAGGGCTGTCTGAGATTTGAGAGCTGTTGAAGTAGCCTTAGAGACATAACTTCATGACCAGTTAAGTGTGATTGTCACCATTCCGGTTACTGGTGATTTTAGATGTCACTTGGATGAACAACACTGAAAATGCTACTCCAAAGGGTACCTTAGTTGCATTGGCAAACTGCCTCCCCAGGCACAGTACTCTGCACCATTTCCAACCCTTACTACCCCTGCGGCTGAGGGAGATGGAGACCCAGAGGCTGGCCCAACCCCCATTCCAGCCTTTCCGGGCCACACTGTGCCACCCCATTTTTAGGTGGTGTCCACCATTTCTTTCCCTGAAAAATTAGCTTCATGGCATAAATGCAATGGTGGTCATCCATGGGAACAATAGAGGGGAATCCCAGGACCTTGAATGTCCTGGACATCCATTCAGAGTGAATTAAATGGAACCAAAGAGAATAAGCCATTGACTTTGTATCTTCCTGGCTGGCTTTGTAACATTGCGGGATCAATGTAGCCCACTACCACAAACCTGAAGAAACAAGAGGAAATGGTAATTAGTCTCCTATCTAACCAGGACAGAAAATGAGCTGTGCTTAGTGATGAAAGACGCAGAGTTAACTGACGGAGTCAGGCAGAGTATTCTGTGCGGATTACTCACTGGCAATCATTAGAACACAGTCCTAGCTCGAGCGAGCGCACCCCAGCAGCATAGGTGCAGGAGGAGGTGGGAAGGGCGCTGAGCAGAGAGAAAAGCCCGGGGCTGAGAGTCAGCCCCGCACTGATGCCTCCCACACTCGTCAGGAATGGGTACCCTCATTCACCAAGTGAAATGTCTATATTAGACAGTGGCTGAAGAATTGTCACGTTCTAAAACGTTTTGAGAAGCCTAAACACAGTAATACATTTGACATAGAGGTTTAAAGATAGGGAAGACGGAGGAAAAGTCAATCTTTAATATCACGGTGCATCAAAAATACCCCTTACGTCTATATCACAACTTGGGGTAAATAGATGACAGAGATGAAACGCCAGAAAATAACCATCTGTGGGATAATGAAAAGAAATAGAATAACATCTTTAAATCACTTACAGTCTGCTCCTTTACAAAGAGTAATGGAGAAAAGTTCCATCTGAATCTCTCAAGGAGGGAGCTTCGGGTAAAGGTGACTGTTGGTGGCTGCGAGTGAGGTGGGAACAAAGAGCCACATGGAACTGGCCCGAAACCCTGCCTTGGGTCCCGGCATCCCAGCTGGGGCTCTAAGCTGCTCAAAGAGTCAGGGGATCACAGTGGAGTTTTTCTTTTTATAAAGGCAAAGTGAGGACCTTAAAAACGCAAGCAAAAAAAGAATCAACCTCTTTGCCTAAAATTTACCCAGTAGGGAGAAAAACTATCTGAAAAGTACACCCTAAGTTTTGCAGATCCTGGCCTAAAGGCAAGAGCACGGGTCTGGGAGGGCCGGGGACCTGGATGACTCCTTCAAGAAATCTTTATTCAGCATTTATGAGGCACCAGGCACCATGGGAATCTCCATGTCCTACAACTAAGGGAAAGAGTTCCAAGTGTAGGGCTGATAGGGACACAACCCCCATGTGGTGGGCAGTGGTCGGGAGAGGTAAGTACAAAGTGCTCTCATAGCCTAGGGATTTGGGGGGGTTTTCACAGAAATTATGCCTGAAGTGACCACCATGCTGAGAAGGACAAATAGAGGGTGGGGGTAGGGGGTAAGTGTTGGACATTTCCGAAAGTTTCCAGATAGAGAATACCGTATATACAGAAAGAAGCCCAGAAGGGAGACGAGACATCCCCCCAACTCATGTGCAACTTTGCACAGATTTTACCACGAAGTTATGAGAATTTCTAGTACGTATTCCTCGCGTCCCTCCTGGGACGTAATGAACTCATTACAATGGTTTTGCTCTCTCTCATTCAATACATGACCATTTGCAGTATTTACTTTAAAGATTAAAATTAGAATTCATGGAAGGGAAGACTTAGTGTGAGAAATGGGGAATTAAGTGCCTATGTAAAACAATAAACAATTCCGAAGTTATATCTCAGGGTATGGAACAGGTCGTTTATATGAGGAAATTACATTTTCAAACCCCCGTTTCACTCAATATAACCAGGGCACCTTGCCAAATAATCAGCCAAAATGTTGATAAAGTGACCGTGGCCAAAAAAAAAAAAAAGCACCACACAAATTTCAGAGACATTCTAATACAGATTAGACATTTTATACAGTGGATTATCTGAAGGGGTGGATTGCCCTCAGCTTCCATCCTTAGGAAGACACAGACTTGACTTGAAAACTTTTTGACCATGTAGCAAAGAGGTGGCAAATAGAGGTGGCATGACTAAGGTTGACAGTGTGGTGTGGGCTCACAGCCGGTGAGCCTGGGGACAGCTTGGTCCCATTTCTGCCCATCACTCCTCCACGTCTCATTTCCACTTGAGTACGCCTCCTCCCAGGCCCATTGCCAGCCTTTGAAGACATGGAGGGAACCAGAGAGAAAGAGTGCAGAGTGCAGAAAAGGAGGCTGGAGAAGCAAGGGGGGCGGGATGAGGGGGAGCGGAGTGAAAAGAGCAATTTAGAATCGAGAGGAGAGAATGAGGACCGCTGCTCAACACCGAAATACTGAAAGCAAGACCACAGCCATTGTAGGGTTTAGTGTGTGTGTGTGTGTGTGTGTGTGTGTGTGTGTGTGTGTGTTTCCCACCGATGTGTTTGCTTAAAAATAGAGCGAAAGTAGGGATCTGAGTGCCAGGGATGGGGTTGAGACCAGAACGTGGGGGACAAACATCTCCCTAGAGCTCACCCTCTGGACTTTAGGATCCGATATTCCTGAGCACTAAGTTGTACCAGGTGGCCTTCTTAATTCTTGGGTCTTTAGTGCCTTTAGTACCTGTTGATCTCTAGGGTCTAACAACAACTAAAAATGCCAAGGTTTCACTCAGCAGGGCCCCTTCTAGAAGGCACGTGATTCCTGAATCTTTATCAAACATCGAAATGCACTCGTCTTCCCCGTGAGTGAGCTCTCTGCAAGAGAGTGGGTGCTGGGGATTTGCTGAATCTACAACCTCCATCTCTGTGCACACTTCCTACCCCTGCTTTCTCAAACAACATCCTTGAGACTTATCAGGAACCTCCCCTTCTTCATAGGAGTTAAACATTATTCTTTTTCCTCACTTAACCTTGATCCGTAGCAAACTTCCTTCAGCTCAAGTGTTAAGTTTCAGTAAAGCGAGTGGAAACACTCGCAGCTGCTGAATGTGCTCCTAAGTGCTCTGTGTGACCTCCTGACCTTTATTTGGAAGGTGTTGCCCTGCTGGAAGCTCTTCATGGAGGACTAAATAGTCATGTCCTTTCTCTCTTCGGCTCTTTTTTCCTTATGTCAAAGGAGGAAGCCCCTTTCTCAGTTGCAGGCCAGGTTCTTGTGAACAGCTTCCCTTCTTTATTTCCAAAGGACCCAGTAAATGATGCGCTCCCTTCCCCCTCCCAGAACCCGTTGAACTTTTCCAGTTCAGGGCCCTGTGCTCTATCTGCTCTTCCTCAAGAGTCGCCCTCAAGACTTCCTGCGCTCAGCCTCTTCCGCCCATGGCGGCAGAGGAGATGTGAGTGGCTGAAATAAATACAAAAGCTCAAAACCTCACAGCATGGTTCAGGTTGGTATTCACAGCTTCAGGAAACAAAACACACTCCTTCTTTTCCCAATGAACTTGTTCTGTTTGTTATTTCGCTTTTTAAGAATTCCAGTTAGGAGCCGCCGCCCCTGCCACAGCCCCACCACTGGTTTAAATCCTGCCGCTTGAAAGTGCTGGTCCCTCAGCTCCTGACTTTCTTCAAGGACAACTGCAGCCGCCCTAGCCTCCTACTTCCTTCATGCTCAAGCACAGACTAGCTGAAACTGCCTTCGCTGGGCCCTTCCCCCTGGAACACCCCTTCCCAGCTCTGGAGTGGAGATGGGTAGCTGCACCCAGTGGGCCACCCAAGCATTCCCCCTGCTCTGGTGGAGTCTTTTACATCTCAAAGGAACTTCTGGCCACTGAATTCGCCCGGGAGGCAGGGGGGCTGCCGAAGTAATCTCACTGTACCGCCTCCTGCCAACATCAAGAATCTGAGTGATATCTGGCCGTGGCTCTGGAAAAAGTCTGCGATCCCCGAACTACATCTTACCTGGGAAAGTTATCTGGCTTTTTGAGGCCATGCTCCACCCTAGAGAATTTAAGCAGCCCAGAAAAGTGCATGGATCACAAATACCCCCAAACCAGCTAATTCACTCCTCAGTACCCCAGTGAGGCATGTCAGAAACCCCGGCCGGGCCCTTACTAAGCGGGCACATGCCGGAGACCTTACTTCAGAATTCAAAGTGGTTAAAGAGTCAAAGGTCTGCCCATGGGCTGGAAGACTGTTAAGATGGCAATATTCCCCCAATTGATCCTCAGGCTCAATGCAGTCCCTGTCAGAATGAAAGTCACTTTTATTTTGCAGAAATTGACCAACAGATCCTCAAATTCATAGAGAAACATGAGGGACCCATAATAACCAAAACGGTCTTGAAAAAAGAACCCAGTGGAAGGACTCACGCTTCACAATTTTACACCTTGTTGCAAAACTACAATAAGCCAGGTGGCATGAGAGGGCCATGGGGATAGATAGATAAGTCAGTAAACAGAATTAAGAGTCCAAAAGTAAGCCTTTTGCACTAACAGCCAGTTGATTTTCGACAAGTATGCCAAAACGATGCAATGGAGAAACAATAGTCTCTTCAACTAAAGATGCCGGAACGACTGGACATCCATATGCAAAAGAATGAATTTGGGCAGCAGGTCGTCGCAGCGAAAGGCAATTTCCCTGGGAAAGCCAGGAGCCCCGTCATCATACTGGCCTTGAAACGGTTTTAAAGAGAGCCTGGAGTATTCTATACCTTCCTAGTAGAAACGAAACTGGGTTTGAAGAACTACCGAGACCAGATGGCACAGATGTTCGGACCGTCTCTTCAGAGACCCTGAAAGAGGAACACAGGAGAGAATCCCTCCCAAGGGACGACATGCAGCTGCTGGGGTGTGTTGGGGGCTTGCCCGGAGTGCCACAGACACTTGCCAGCCTGCAGCATCTGCTGGGGTGTGAGCACTGAAGAAGCCTTCTCTAGATTTTCAGGCCGCTGATGTGGTTGTGCCAGGAGCAATCCCAAAGCAATGGTAGAGAGCTCTCAACACAATTCTAGCTCTGGACATTGCCCCAAAAATGATTCACGAGTGGCCGAGAAGCAGATAACAAGATGCTGGACATCAGCAGTCATCAGTGAAATGCAAATCAAACCCACGATGAGACTCCACCTCACTTCCACGAGACTGTGATCAAAGAAACAGAAAACCAGTTGGCGAGGATGTGCAGAAACTGGAACCTTCCCGTGCTGCTGGTGGGAATCCAAATGGCACAGCCACTGTGCGTAATAGCTCGGCGGTTCCTCCAAGACTTGGACTGAGGTTTCCATACGATCTAATAATTCCACTCCTAAGTATATACC